AAAGTTTGGACAAAAATATTAAAATATAAGAAATCCCCTCTAATTTTGAAATTCAAGCAATTATTTAGGAAATGACTCTTGGGTCTCTGTCTATGCTATTAAGTAATAATGACTCCTTTATGAAGAGAAGGGACACAAATGTGAATGTAAACTTTTAAAAGGAAGATTTTTCTAGAGTTTCCTTTTATCTATGAAGTTATTCACCAAGAGTAAACACAACGTTTTAAAAACATCATTACAAAATATTTGACTGATTTTCTTAGATATGTTTGAATGGTAAGAAGTACCTCTGAGTATATGAAGTCTGGAAGCTTGTTGAGTCTACCTTTCCAGACATGTAAGTTTATTCAGATCTTCATTTACTAAAACTAATTTTGGCTGGCTCTGCCTTCATAATATGATGGAATTTTATATCTTTCATATCATTACAATGTTTGTTGTAATTTTAACATTCTATTAGGAACAATAATGAGAAATGAGATTTTCTTTCCCTTCTTCAACCGGGGACTTATGACAATTACATGTCCTTTGGGGATATAGCCAGGAAGAATTTAACGAGAACATTAGATTCTTGATTCTGGCTTTTAATACCAATGATAACTTGCCTTTCAACCCAAAATGTTTTATATGTATTTTTTTTCTATTTTCAATGATATTCAGACACTAAGCACGGAGTACTATCTTTGCAATAAAAGTGGTTGGAATTTCAGTGCACTAAAAATCAACAGTATCCAGAAGCATGAATGGAGTCCAAGTGACAGCTAAGGGGCAGTGTTCACATCATAGCCGAAAGTATCCTAAGTCAGTGCAGTGTTTTTATGCTTTCTCTCTCTCTCTCTCTCTCTCTCTCTCTCTCTCTGTGTGTGTGTGTGTTTTAAACAATGGCAATTAAGACATACATTAGAAGCTTATCCAAACAGAGTGGTTTGTGAAAAATGAAGAATTTGAGAAAGGATGGGGTAGTGGATGTGAGGCGCAGTCTTGGTATAAGAAGGTCTATCTTCAGTTTGTGATGATGTGGCTTTAATCTTTCTCATAGATGATATACTTGATGTAATCTAACTTTGCTTTCAATTATTTTTCATCCTAATGTCTTTTGTTCATTTCTGTTGCATCACTGCACAAAAGGTGCTTTAAGGATTTATTTAGCCAGTCATCCCATTTCTGGTAACACAGCCACCTGGGGAAATTTATGCATGTGTTAATGCACATGGGAATTTATGAGAGTTACTAAAAATAATTGTATCAGCAATTTCTCAGTTACTTTTGACCTAAATGGAGACTTAACCTTTTCCCAGACTGATAATTTACTCTGCTGTTTCATTTCAGAATTATCTTTTTTAACAGCACACAACAACTTAATCTAACTCTATTTGCTTTGGTTCATATATGGCTTTTACACACACACACACACACACACACACACACACAACCATTTCCTTCAAAAGAAATTCAATGCACTAGCAGGTGCCACTGCAAGTTTAGTTTGACCAGACTGTAAATGCAAGATGAAGAAATAGGACAAAAACTAATTTGGATGCAAAGACCGTTGTTCAAGTCAAGGCTAGGGACAAACAGTAAAGGTGATGGCACATCTACGTTCAAGAGACCCGAAAAGATTATTAGTCCAAAGCAAATTGAAGATTGTGAAATGCAGCACACAAGTAGTTTCTGAATTTGCTAGGAACCTGTGGAGTTTTTTTTAAATATACAGATTCCCAGACTCCATATGAAGGGCAATGATTGAATCATACCTGTTGAATCAGAATCTCTGTAGGTGTAGAAGATGAGTTTGTGTTTTTAAAACTATATCCAGATGTTTCAGATGTAGCTAATCCAGAACCCCCCAGAAATATTAAGAACAATAGTTAGGGCCATTAATGAGTAGATTCATCAATTAGAAGCAATCAGGAAGAGGCAAATACTAGGCAAAATATCACGAATGAGAAAACATACAACCTATTAGCCAAATCTTACTAAGTTATCCTGCAGTAACAAACAATCCCCAGTCCCTAATGTTTTTTAATGACATAGGTTTGTTTCTTGCTTGTATGAATGCACATCAACTGCAGCTCTGTTTCACGTACCTTCTTCATCCCAGGATGTAGCCCCATTGGGACTTTCTCTCCCGGCAGAGAGGGAAAAACACCAACTAACTTATGCAATGTCTCTCCTGGCTTCTGCTCAGATGTGGCTTATAATCTTCCCATCACTCTCCACTGACTAAAACCAGTCTTATGGTCAAGCTTGAGGTCAGTGGCCTGGGGACATATTCTCCTCCAATAAGAAAGTACTGCAAGTCATATGGCAACACATGGGGATGCATATT